GCATAGCTTAGATCGATTTACCACGGTAGTGTAGACCTGGCCTTAGATTCAATTCTGGTTGTTGGCTTGGTGTCGGGGTGGCTGGGTGGTGCTAGTGGCCTGTGGTATGCAGCAGGTCAGATGATCTGGTGGTTTCTTCTAGCCTTGACCTCAATGACTATGAAAACACAGGTCTTTCAACCGGATGTCAAGCTCTCAAACTAACTTACCTGAAATGCACCATCTTTAGTTCTAGGCTGCTCTTCCAAAAAGGACTGGGTCCCTATAATCAGGGCTGTCACATTGCTAAGATGCCAACTTCTTAGCTGGGTGACCTGCCACATGTTAATGTGGAATGAGAGTTCCTTTACAATGGCGACACAAGTGAATAGATGCTGTGCTGTCCTGACACTGTCTCCTCCAACCTGACAGGCACTGAAATTGACAAAGGTTCTGCTTGCCAAAGCTTCTGGATGGAGACAGAGACAGAGAGGGCAGCAGGTGACCAACCCAAAATACAGCGGAGGTGGTGATCCAATTTTAGTCTATGAGCATTTACAGCATCCCTTCAAAGAGTTTTATACTCTGACATAGGAATTGATCTATCTAGCCCAGTATTCCTGTCTGTGACAGTGGTCAGTATCAGATGCTTTAGAAGAAAGTACAAGAAACCCCATGACAGTTTATGCCCTTAACATTTTTCATCCAATCTAATGGATCTGTGGCTGTCCTTATTCATATTTATTTCTTGGATTTACATTAGAATGAGACATGCCTGTCCTATGCTTTAGGGCACACAGGCCAGGTGTCTATAAGTATCTAATCCAGTTTGGATTCCAGTGAAGCTCTTGGCTCAATAACTGACCTATTTGAATAAGTGAACCTCAGCAGCTGTAGGTCTGCAGCCCCAGTGTCTCCCGTAACAGAGCCCAGACCACAGTAGTTGAGTACTGAGAGGAAGTCACTTGTTTTATAGTGGCTATTTGTTTGGCTGCGCTCATCCTATGTGGCTGCAGCATTGGGCCCTGCTTTGACTTACAAGTTTCCTCTTGTGTTTTGTCATGCAGTACTGATGAAAATTTATTGATGATACTCCAGAGGCAGAGGCTGCCCTTGACCCTCAGCTGGAGTGTGCTACAGCCTCAAACTGTTGTCAGATGAATGCTGCTTTGCCTCTGGTTGCTCTCTGTAACGAGGCTGGTCTAATGATTTGATACAGCGCAGCCGGTGTAGGTTGGGTCACCTTCTGCAGTTATCAGATACAGTTTATGCTGGAAACTTTTGGTGCAGAGGTGGCAGCTTGAGCCCAGCTGTGCCCCTTTGAACATTTCATGGTGGGCCCATTTCTTTGGCCATGCTGCCACCAAATCTCTTGGGCCAGGTATAACTGTTGGCTACCACAACTCACTTAAGCCCTGGTAGGGCCTTCCTTTGCAATTACACCATGGGCACCGATACCAATTGGGCCTGTTATCATGCATGCAAGCGCTCATTAGAGGTGCAAAATCATGGAAAAATGAACCCTTTGTATCTGATTTGTATGGTTTATATAGATTACAAATTTGTTGAGGCAAGGACTTTGTCTATGTCCTGTACACTTTTGTACAGAATGCTGTAATTGTAGGAAATAACAGCCTCATGGTAATAGGACATGTAGAATTTTAAGAGTCTCCGTGATATTACTATAGAAAGGAGAAGGAAAATGTGGATTCTTCACAGCCAAGTGGTATTGACTCAGTTTCAGCTTAATGTTGTCACTTGCTTCAGATTTCACAGGATGGTCTTAATTTTGATAGATCTGGACCCTTCCCTCAGCACCCCCCATCAAGTGAACTGAACTCTTCCTATTCATTCTAGAACATCTAAACCAGTCAGAAAGTACAACAAATAAAAATATATTTCATGCAAACAGACTCAAAGCACATGGAAATATGTAGCATTTCAGCAGCTGGCCATTCCTTCTCCTAGCAACTAAACACTGACGATTTAAAAAAAGAAAAGTTGGACCGTTATAATATTCACATCCTAGTTGCTAAACTAGTTTATGAAAACTATCCAATAATTAGTAGAAAAATGAACCATTTTTATAACAAGAAATTCTGGTTTATTAAAAGCTGGAACTGGTGTCCAAAAAAATAAATAAATAAATAAATAAATTTTCTTAACATAAGGTTCTTGTTAGCTTTAAAATGCAAGCATAAAAATACTACAGAATTATGTTATGGTATGGATGAAATGTACACTATATAATACATGAAAAGAACCCTGACTAGCTGCTATTATTTTTAATTAGGCTCTATAGCAAATATGGCTTTACCTTCCAACACCAGTTAAAATTTGGGGAGGCTGAAATCTCCAAACTCATGGGACTGGCAATTCTGTTGCTGATGCCTCGGAGCACTAATGCATTTTACATTAGCTCTAAGCATCAGGAAATCCTGGCTCCTGGTGCCAAGAAGTTCAAAACGATAATGACACGTCTGAAAACTAGGATTCTCTGTCCAACTGCCTGTGTCTATGCTAGCAAACAATCCTGACCCTCCTTATTATAAATGGGACAGAACATTTGTAACAGGACATGCTGTTTCCAATTAGGTTGTCTCTCTATATGGCGGATAATTCCAGGGACAATCATATTGAAAAGCACTCCCAGAAAGAGAATTCTAATTGGAAATCAGAATGTATTTGCCTGCGCCCTGCACAAAGGGCTGTTACCAAGTTTTGCAAGTTGTATTTATTCTTTTCATTTAAATGGGTCCCCAGACTTTAATGCGTTGTGGTTACGAACAAGGACGTTCTACAAATATTTTTTATTTATTTTATGTATTTTACCATTCCTTTTAGCTGGAAGGAGACCAGATTCAAAGCCTTAAAAACATACATTTTTGACAGAAGGTTGAAACTCAAGGTTCAGCAATCTAATGTAGCTCAAGTATGCTCAAACTTTCCTCAACCAAGGGCTTCATTGGCAAAGTGACAGGATATTGATGGGGCTATTCCTAGTTTGACAAAAACAAAGGAGACCGCAGACATCTTCATCTTTAATAGGAACATGCAGCCATTGGGAATTGTCTCCCTCTGACATTCCATCTAGATCCCAGATGTTCAAGATGGATAATTGCACCCTGTCATCTCCAAGGGCCATACCTCCATATTAAAGTTGAGAATGGCTGTGAACCACACTCCATGAGTGCGTCTACCCTCCAATCAGAGATGTGATTTCAACTTGTGTAGCACATCCAAGCTAGCTTTAATCTAGCTAGCTTGGGTGTCACAGCAGTGAAGCAGCAGCAGCACGTGCTTCTGTGCAGGCTAGCTGCCCAATTACCCAGGATTCCAGGTGGGCTTGTCCATGGTACTACAGCTTCACTGCAACAGGTACCCGAGCTAACCATATTAAAGCAAGTCAGGTATGCCTACATGTGCTGCATGCAATCATGCCCCCTGATTGTGGTATAGACATACCCTAAGACTCCAGGGGTTGCACCTGGCTTCCTTTTTCTTCAGTTTCTCCATCACACATGGGCGTTAATAGACAAATACATTTTAAAATAAATAAATAAATCACAACAGTCTATCAAGTGCTTTCACTTTTAAAAAATATATAGTAAAGAAGTCATCACTACGTAAGAAAGATTTTGCAAAACAGTCTTAGCAAAGCCAAGCTTGGGAAGTCATTTAATTGTCAACCCTTGTGTGTGCTGGGCTTGCTGACGTTTCTGTGGTGAGAATCCCTCCCCCAGTCAAGCTGCAAGGAAGCAGAAGAGGCTAGCACTGAACTGGAGTGCTCCTTAAAGAGCAATGTCAAAAAGCCATGCAGGTTAGGTTTCAGATAGGAAGGTGTATAAAGGGGAAAAAACCCACATGCTTTCTAAGAGGTTCTCCTTGGGAAAGGAGAGCAATTACGTAGTCCAACTCAACTGTTTCTCAACAGATGATTTTAGGTAGTAATCACAGAATTACCCAAAACAGATTACACCACTGCCCTACATGTTGGGATTTGTTCAGACTTTACATAAAGCTACTAAAGTTATTAGTTATTATCGGGGGAAGAAAAAAATAAAAGTCAAAAAAGGGTGGAAGCATGTCTCAATAACTTCTTGTAGAAGGGAATTCCACAGGATTACCATACATTGTATGAAGTATATCCTTCTATTGGAGCGCACTGTCACACATGCCTATCTGTCATAATTTGGCATACATGTCACATAAAATAAAGCCTTTCCTAAACCCTACAGATGCCTTGAAGGACAAGGAAGGATCATCTTCTCTGAAATGAGAGTTTTCCTATTTAACCTTGTGAGCAAAGTCAGTCCAGAGATCCAAATTGGAACAGCTTGCTAAGATGACATAGGAGAAAAGGTCAGAATAGAAGGGCAATTTAAACAAATGTCTCCAATAGCTCCAGGAATCTACTAGTGAAGCCAAAAAGCCGGCATCTTTCACCCATCCACAAGATTTTCAAAGCATATGACATCAGCAATCAAGCTGAGTGTTAGCTGGGAAGATTGAGTAAAATCAGGAAACAATCCTGACAGCTGAGAAACTTATTTTTAACAGTTTAAGAATACTGGAAACAATTCTGCTAGTTAATCAAATCCCCTAGCGTCTCCTTAGACATTTCCAAACAATGATGCCTGAATAGTGTTTGAATAATTGTCATAACATGTAATGAGTTGTGTGCTCTAGTTTTCTATTCCATTTTTATTGCCTTTGGAAAGCTATCAGGAAATACTATGCGTACATTAAGGTGTTAAAATAAATGTATAATTCAAAAGGCAAACTGGATCCTCCAGTGTGACAAAACACCATGAAGTTTTGATCTATGATTTCCATAAACCTGCTTTCTTGATGTAAATCATTCCCCTAAGTATGCTTTTAAAATGTAACCCTATTAAAGCTTGTGTTTTGGAACGGAAAAAAAGTTACTCAAGTTGAAAAAATGTAAATCAAGCATTAAAAAGAAACCTGAATGAGTAATTTTCTGATTACATAAATTCTTTCCAAAAAGAGAGCTTTACCTGCTGGAGAAGGGATGTTGCCCGACTAAGTCTCCATTTTGGAGATGATAATCACTGAAGAAATCTGGACTCACTGCTCCATCGGGGGCTATCATGCCATCTACGAAGAGACGAGAAATGTAGAGGTTGAGAGACAGTGGCATGTTGGGGGTGCCAGAAAAGCAGGCCACACAGCGAGTGCTGCTTTATCCCAGGCACACTCCAGTCAGCAATCTGTGTCAGTTTAGGAATCAATGACAAGCAGCAACAAACAAGGCCAGCTCCTGGCTCAATAAGACAAGAAACTCGCCAGGGCCTGAAGTAGACTTCACCATTCACAGCCCAATTCACAGCTCCTGTGATGGGCCACAGCTCAGAGCTGTATCCCTCACATCTTTGCCAGCAGGACTGGAAGAGATGTAGAAGGTCCAATCCTGCCCATTCCATCACAGCAGTGGGACCAGAGGAGAAGTAAATAAAGAGCCAAACACCAACTTCCAGGTCAGTGGAATAAAAATGGCGAGGCAACCTATGGCTTGATTCCTCACCCTCTCATTACCCTTCCCCACCCTCTTGTTGAGGCTGTTCATGGAGGCAAGTTCATGACATGATTTTCCCCATCTTCCCAGTAGTTTAATGCTTCATAAGACTAGCCTAAATAAAAAATAATTTTCATATGACAGGCTCCTGGGGAACTCTAGGAAATGGACAGTTCCTTAGCTAACAATAATTTCTCTTTGTTCCTTTTACATTCACCATTGGCAAAAGTAGTTGCATGTGTTTATAAAGTCACTGGGACTCCTTAAAGGAATCACAGCCTTACCTGGTTTATTGAAGAGAGCAGGATATTATGGGCTAAGCTTTACTCTCAGTTACACCATCAATGTGTCAAAATCCCCAAATGAGAAACATGTCAGACAAGTCTATGACGAACGGTGACAGTTCCATCACAGAAATTCCACTTGGCAATACAGCCATTCACAGCCACCAAGTTAGACAAAATTCTGAGTGATATTAAGAGCAGCACTGCTCTGACTATGACAACATATCACCAGAGTTCTTGAAGCACTTCAAGGCTTGTGCTCACCAGTGGCTGGCACAGTTCTTCACCTGTGTGATCAACGAAAAGCAACTTCTGAAGACATGGTGAATATTAAAAATCATTGCTCTCCTGAAACCAGGGGAAAAGCCTACATAATGTTGCAAATTATCGACCCATATCTCCATCGTCTGTGCCATTCAAAGTTCTGAAGCATCTCATCCTTCCCCAGAAACAGACTCAATACTCAGCGTGGAGCAAGCAGGCTTTTGAAAAGGTTGGAGCACCTGCGATCAAGTGCTGTTTTGACAACATTGATCAGAAATTGTCTTCGGAAAAACCTCAAGACAGGAGCCATATTTCTGGATCTGACAGCAGCATATGACATGATGTGGAACACATGGCTCTTAGTCAAATTGTCAAGAGCATTCCCAGCATGGGTAATCAACATTGTTGATCTTTTCTGCTACAGAGGTTTCCATATGGGAGACAGAGTTCGCGTGTGGAAAAGAAACCAACAATTTACCACAAGGCTCTGTACTGGCACCGATGCTTTTCAATCTGTTCACAAAATAACCTTCCGCTCACCCTGTCCTGCATGTTCACATATGCAAATGACATTTGCTTAGGCGTCCAAGCAAGGTCATTCCTAGAACTTGATGTCCTAAACTCTGACTTGGGCCAAATACTGTAGTCAGTGATGTTTACAACCAAGTATGATCAAGACATTTTCGAGTGTGTTCCATCTTCACAATGCCAGAGCAGACCAAGAACTGAATATCTTTCTCGAAGGTCATCGCCTGAAACATGAATTCCACTCAATCTACCTCAAAGCACCCTAGATAGATCTCTCACATATCTCAACCATCTGAGGAAAACTGCAGCTAAGGTGAGGACACTTAACATTCTAAAAAACCCTGGCTGCCACTTCATGGGGAACAAACTTTCAAACTCTCCAATCATCCAGTTTAGCCCTATGTTACTCTGCAGCAGAATACTTTGTTCTGGTCTGACTCCATTCATCCCATGTCAAGTTGGCTGACACACAACTACACTCAACCCGTGCATTGCAACTGGGATGATTCAACCCACACCAGTACCATGGTTCCCTATGTTAAGTAACATCACTCCTCCATACATCTGCCATGAGGATGCTACAGCCTGAAGATTAGGGCAAACCCGAGCCTACTGCTATATACAGACCTCTTTGATGAATCCAAGAACGTGCTTGTTGTCAAAGCATCCGCTGTGGGCCCACCTACGCTGCCCAGATTTCTCTGCAATGTCAATGTGGTGTGAAGAGTGGTTTCTGATGTCAACTGCAGACCAATCTCTTATAACTGAACCGACCATGTGTGTACCTGGCTTTGATTTACCACACCATTCATGGGTCCTTCTGAATCAATTTTGAGTAGGCCAGGCCCAATGTGCAGCCAGCCTTCACACCTGAGGCCAACAAGAGGATCCCACATGTGGCTATGGCCAAAGACAGTGTCACACATCACTGACGACTGCCCTCTGACCAGATTGGATGGTGGTCTGAGGTCTCTAAATCTGGCTGATGAGGCTGCTGCAAATTGGTTTGGCAAGCTCCGCACCTGATAAGAAAAAGCTGCACAGTGTAAATCCAGAGTCACTCCACTGCTTCAGATTTATTTCAGTTAAAATGAAAGCACTGTTTATCATTATCGCTATTCTTACACTCTTGGTACATTAGTTGTTAATAAAAAGGGCACAGTTCTTTACCTGGTAAGAAGTGCCAGGCTTTATTAGAGAAAACAAGGCTATCTCCATTAAAATATATAGTAACAATGAGAGTCTGAGGCAGCGTTTAAAAGTGAGTCCCCAGCCTTACAGATCAGAAAGCATTCCAATAAAAAAAAAAACCCATGGAAGAAACAGATGCATTCTGGCTGATACTTTAATAGTTTAACAGACGACAGAGAGATTCCTAATGACTAGGAAGTAACAAATGCCATTCCACTTTAAAGTAAAAGAGATAAGATCCAGGGAATCACAGGCCACTTAGCTTAACCTCTGTGGTTTCAAAGCTACTAAAGTTGCCTAAGCAGGAAGCAGTGGAAAGTTACTTACAGACACAGGGGCTTAAAGAGGACGACTCAGGCATTCAAACAAATCTCTCTTTGCATTACAAATTTACCTTTTTTTTTTTTTTGAAGATAATGTAGCGACAAATGATAAAAGGAATAGAGCTGACACATCTAGATTTCCATGAGACATTTGATGAGGTGCTACAGAGATTCATTTAGAAGATAATAGCGTATGGGAAAGTGATTGAAGACAACATAACAGATTGTAAATGAAAAATGCTAGCCATGATCAGACAGCATTTTTAGAAGTGTAAAAAGCGGTGGAAGAGTGTACAGCTAATTGCATACATGTGTGTACAGCATGAAATAAAATAGAACCTGACAAGAAAATATTCTGACAAATAAATAATCC